AGTTTAGTCATGACTGACACTGAAGTATCGAAACGATAGTATAAAAGCTTTCTGCACCAGTAGTTACTGTTAGTCGCCTATGGTAAGCGCATCAGGGCCGGCCTGTGAATTGAGATTCCCTGAATGTCGGTGGAGCGGGGATTCGTACAACTGAGCCCAATCAAAAATGGATCCAGTGATTGGAGGCACAGTATTGTACGACTCACTGCGTGCGACTTTAATCGCGTATGCCATTGGCCCGGCCTTTTTGCCAATTTTCCACATTTTCCCTTGCTACTGTAGATGTTTCGTTATACATGTAGAGCGCGCTAGCGGCCAACTGGACAAGTCACTTTTAAAAGGTGGCAGACTACCCAAAATTCGCTGAAAAAAAAGTAATTTGTAAATTCAGATTGAGTGCTACGTCAGTTGAAAGAGCTTGAATAGGTGCAAATTCTCTGAAAATTGTGTCCCGATCTGACTAGCCGTTCAAGAGTTATGGCCTAAAATGTGCCCTTGCAAGGAAAGACTTTTTTGTTGCACGCTGTCATTTGTTGGCAGCACTGTATTTGAATGTGAGCAGACCGTGCGCAACTTGTCGTATCATGGAAACACGCGAAAGTGTGCAGAATTTTGTTCCAAGTCCAAAAAATCACGTTTTTGAGCGCCGTGCAGCAGGACTTTTGCACAAGCACGCGGCAAGTCAAAAAAATCACGTTTTTGAGCCACGTATTGGGCTGCACGGCGGCAGGACTTTTGCCAGCACCCTCGTGACGTTGCAGATATGTGGCTTGATAATTGTAGTTGACGTTGATTTAGTGACTACTAGCACTAGCACTTCAGATGACCAGCTTACTCTGTTTTGTTATTGTATCACGGCACTTTGCACTCTGCTCTTTTCTGCTCTCTTCCTTAGCCCTAAATCTTCGTCCTTTGGGCGCGCAATATGTTTCTCCTTTCGGTACAAAACCGGGGTGCTTTTGCCCACCTACATGTATTAGCCATTCAACAAAATCAACCTTCTGAACTTCACTGAAGAGAGTTCTATACCCGGCGGTAGTCGCCAAGACACCTGTATGAAGGGACTGAGTACAAAATGGATGTGTCGCTTTCTTGAAAGTCTTCTGTGGCAACTACTTGTCAAGGTTGGCTGGTGAGCGCCGTTGTGGAATCATGGTGGTTGATGGAGAAAGCAAATACTCAGTTTCTTGAATCTATCAATCGTCAGGCAAAGTAACAAACTGAGGCAGGGCTGTAGTGTGTTAGTTCACTACAAGACTGACACACTCAGCCACAGAACAGGGCACAGAAAAAGGAAATCGCCATGATTGTGTGAAGGTGAGAGTGTACTGTACATGTTCTTCGCAGTACATGTGCATGGATGTCGTCCCATTCTGTCCGATTATCCTCCACCCAGGCCGTCACAACAAGCTCTTTCCCGTGCCAAGGCCTCCAGGATATCGACATCATCAGATTCTTTCACTCCAGACTCCAGTGACCATTATGGTAATGTCTTTGCACCTAGAAATACGCTGGTAACCGGATGTGTATTAGCAGTGTTTGTAAAAATAGTGTGAACTTGGTGTCAGTACAGTATTATGATGTCCATTGTGCATTGGGTTTAGAATGGCCAAGAAGTTTAGTCATCACTGACACTGAAGTATCGAAACGATAGTATAAAAGCTTTCTGCACCAGTAGTTACTGTTAGTCGCCTATGGTAAGCGCATCAGGGCCGGCCTGTGAATTGAGATTCCCTGAATGTCGGTGGAGCGGGGATTCGTACAACTGAGCCCAATCAAAAATGGATCCAGTGATTGGAGGCACAGTATTGTACGACTCACTGCGTGCGACTTTAATCGCGTATGCCATTGGCCCGGCCTTTTTGCCAATTTTCCACATTTTCCCTTGCTACTGTAGATGTTTCGTTATACATGTAGAGCGCGCTAGCGGCCAACTGGACAAGTCACTTTTAAAAGGTGGCAGACTACCCAAAATTCGCTGAAAAAAAAGTAATTTGTAAATTCAGATTGAGTGCTACGTCAGTTGAAAGAGCTTGAATAGGTGCAAATTCTCTGAAAATTGTGTCCCGATCTGACTAGCCGTTCAAGAGTTATGGCCTAAAATGTGCCCTTGCAAGGAAAGACTTTTTTGTTGCACGCTGTCATTTGTTGGCAGCACTGTATTTGAATGTGAGCAGACCGTGCGCAATTTGTCGTATCATGGAAACACGCGAAAGTGTGCAGAATTTTGTTCCAAGTCCAAAAAATCACGTTTTTGAGCGCCGTGCAGCAGGACTTTTGCACAAGCACGCGGCAAGTCAAAAAAATCACGTTTTTGAGCCACGTATTGGGCTGCACGGCGGCAGGACTTTTGCCAGCACCCTCGTGACGTTGCAGATATGTGGCTTGATAATTGTAGTTGACGTTGATTTAGTGACTACTAGCACTAGCACTTCAGATGACCAGCTTACTCTGTTTTGTTATTGTATCACGGCACTTTGCACTCTGCTCTTTTCTGCTCTCTTCCTTAGCCCTAAATCTTCGTCCTTTGGGCGCGCAATATGTTTCTCCTTTCGGTACAAAACCGGGGTGCTTTTGCCCACCTACATGTATTAGCCATTCAACAAAATCAACCTTCTGAACTTCACTGAAGAGAGTTCTATACCCGGCGGTAGTCGCCAAGACACCTGTATGAAGGGACTGAGTACAAAATGGATGTGTCGCTTTCTTGAAAGTCTTCTGTGGCAACTACTTGTCAAGGTTGGCTGGTGAGCGCCGTTGTGGAATCATGGTGGTTGATGGAGAAAGCAAATACTCAGTTTCTTGAATCTATCAATCGTCAGGCAAAGTAACAAACTGAGGCAGGGCTGTAGTGTGTTAGTTCACTACAAGACTGACACACTCAGCCACAGAACAGGGCACAGAAAAAGGAAATCGCCATGATTGTGTGAAGGTGAGAGTGTACTGTACATGTTCTTCGCAGTACATGTGCATGGATGTCGTCCCATTCTGTCCGATTATCCTCCACCCAGGCCGTCACAACAAGCTCTTTCCCGTGCCAAGGCCTCCAGGATATCGACATCATCAGATTCTTTCACTCCAGACTCCAGGGACCATATATGGTAATCTCTTTGCACCTAGCAACACGCTGGTAACCGGATGTGTATTAGCAGTGTTTGTAAAAATAGTGTGAACTTGGTGTCAGTACAGTATTATGATGTCCATTGTGCATTGGGTTTAGAATGGCCAAGAAGTTTAGTCATCACTGACACTGAAGTATCGAAACGATAGTATAAAAGCTTTCTGCACCAGTAGTTACTGTTAGTCGCCTATGGTAAGCGCATCAGGGCCGGCCTGTGAATTGAGATTCCCTGAATGTCGGTGGAGCGGGGATTCGTACAACTGAGCCCAATCAAAAATGGATCCAGTGATTGGAGGCACAGTATTGTACGACTCACTGCGTGCGACTTTAATCGCGTATGCCGTTGGCCCGGCCTTTTTGCCAATTTTCCACATTTTCCCTTGCTACTGTAGATGTTTCGTTATACATGTAGAGCGCGCTAGCGGCCAACTGGACAAGTCACTTTTAAAAGGTGGCAGACTACCCAAAATTCGCTGAAAAAAAAGTAATTTGTAAATTCAGATTGAGTGCTACGTCAGTTGAAAGAGCTTGAATAGGTGCAAATTCTCTGAAAATTGTGTCCCGATCTGACTAGCCGTTCAAGAGTTATGGCCTAAAATGTGCCCTTGCAAGGAAAGACTTTTTTGTTGCACGCTGTCATTTGTTGGCAGCACTGTATTTGAATGTGAGCAGACCGTGCGCAATTTGTCGTATCATGGAAACACGCGAAAGTGTGCAGAATTTTGTTCCAAGTCCAAAAAATCACGTTTTTGAGCGCCGTGCAGCAGGACTTTTGCACAAGCACGCGGCAAGTCAAAAAAATCACGTTTTTGAGCCACGTATTGGGCTGCACGGCGGCAGGACTTTTGCTAGCACCCTCGTGACGTTGCAGATATGTGGCTTGATAATTGTAGTTGACGTTGATTTAGTGACTACTAGCACTAGCACTTCAGATGACCAGCTTACTCTGTTTTGTTATTGTATCACGGCACTTTGCACTCTGCTCTTTTCTGCTCTCTTCCTTAGCCCTAAATCTTTGTCCTTTGGGCGCTCAATATGTTTCTCCTTTCGGTACAAAACCGGGGTGCTTTTGCCCACCTACATGTATTAGCCATTCAACAAAATCAACCTTCTGAACTTCACTGAAGAGAGTTCTATACCCGGCGGTAGTCGCCGAGACACCTGTATGAAGGGACTGAGTACAAAATGGATGTGTCGCTTTCTTGAAAGTTGTTACGTTTTCTTACTCTTAGTACTCCCTTGTGCCATTGTTCCAGCAGATGCTGCAGGTGTCGCTGACCTGCACAGTTTGTACGAGTACTTGTAGATTTATGCAGTGCGTGTCTACAGCTGTATTTGAATGTGTGCGTAGTGCACAGTTTGTAGTTGTCCCCTGGCCCTAGGCCTAGGCCCTGTGCCTGTGATACGTGATTGTGGTGCGTGTTAGCTTACACGTGGGAATGCTACGCGCTTTCATGTGACCTGCGTTACTTCCTTCTCACTGTACTTCCTTTTATGCATGTATCGCTGGCATATGTGACACGGGCCGGCCGGGCCGGAGTGTGTATTGCCTATTGGTTTTGGAAGCATGTGCCTTTTGTTCTGTGAGTTGTTGTTCGCATGCACATGTTGCTGGCCGGGTGGTAATGTTTTGGTTCTTGTTGTGTTGGACCTGAGCTCTAGATTCTACAAAGTTTGTAGCTGTTGTGATTTTACTATGTTCCATGGGTCTGAATAATTGTGTTCTCCGGAGTGGAGTAAAACTGAACTGTGATTCGATTGTGTGCGGAAACCCGGTGTTGACGAAAGTGTGTTGACCTGGGCGCTGACGAAAAGTAACATAAACTGGCACCTCCGACGGGATCATTTTGCCTTTCCGTGGTTGCTGAGAGTCGTCGCCATGAGTGAGGAGCGGCGTATCAGCCACAGATCGACGAAAGGAAAGGAACCCAGGCGATATGGATTTTCTGGAAGTGAGCGCTCGAGTACTCGTGCCAGTCCTGGGAGCACTGAACTCGTAGAATTGGAGAGAGCTCGAGTGGCCAGAAAAAGGGCAGAGGCCGAAGTGCGAGTGGCAGAAGAGATTGCTGCACTGCAGGAACAAGTTCTGCAGAGTAAGTTAGCTGTCCTGCAGAAACGGCAAGCCTTGGAGCAAGCTCGTTCCGAAGAAGAATCTGCGCACGAGTCGGCGGCAGGAGCTAGCCCGTCGCCTCGTAGAGAAATTGCTTCGGACGGGGACGTGGTCTTCCAACGAAGTCGTGACGGCGCAAGTGCGACTCTGCGATCTTGTATGCCACCACGAGCGGAGTCGGACAGTGCAGTTACCGGTAGTAGGTTTACGACTGATCCTCCGTTACCACTCGCGCGCACCAGTGTTGAAAATGTGAATACACTGGTAGCAGGAACAGCAGCTGCTCAGCTATCGCAGAATGTCCCGGACGTCGTTGACGGTGTGTCTGAAGAGTCAGACCACTATGTGTCATCCAGTAGCGCCTCAAGTAGTGACACTGCTGGTGACTCTACAACTACTGGAACTACAACTAACGCCGGCAGTAGTGGTGAAAGTGATAACAGCCACACTGATACTAGTACTGTTAGTCACTATGGGCCTGCTTCCAGGCGTGTTGCTACACATGCTCTGGCCAACGCAGGAGTTGTGTCCAGAGGCGGAGCTGCCTGCACTACCCAGCCAGTACATATGCAGCAGCAGCAGCAGCCGCCGTCACAGCAGCAGCAGCAGCCGCCGTCACAGCCGCCACGGCAGCAGCAGCTGCAGCAAGTCCATGTGCTTGGTAGCGCCGTGCGTCCAATGCTGCTGGAAGCAAGTGGACAGGCCCAGCCAAGCCCCGCTGCACCGAGAAGACTGATGACTCCGAAGAAGAAAAAATCGGAAAAACAACAGAAGAACAAGGACAAAGCCGAGCAAGCAGCTTCACTGTGCAGTGCCATGACTGAGACACTCTCACTCAACCCTGGAGCAGTGCCGTTCCAACCAGCGAAGCAAACACTGTTGCCTGGACCTCAGCTGGCACTGCCTGGACACCAGATGGCATCGCCTGGATTCATGCCATGGAACTCGCCTTATGCTGTTACCAGTCACCTGAAGGCGTTAGAGCTCCCCAAGTTTGATGGGAAGGTGAAAAGCTACCTGAAGTGGCGGCAGCGTTTCCTTCGGCTGATTGACGACAGTTACGCGATGTCGGAGAACCACAAGCTTGCGCATCTGAGGGAGGCCCTTGCTGATGGTTCTGCAGAAGAGCTGATTGCTGATGTCTTGGATGGACCTGGCGCATATAAAGTAATCATGGCCGAGTTGGAACGCTGGTACGGTGGCCAAGACCGAGAGCTGAACAACCAGGAAAGAGAGCTCATGGAGTGGCCAGTCTTGACCAATGAGCGTGACGTCAGCCAGCTGAAAAAGTTCGCCATTCGGCTCCGCAATACCCTGCTTAACATGGAAGCAGTCCAGGTGCAGCCAGGCAGAGAGTTATACCTGGCGCTAACCCGGAAGATTCCTCGACGGCTCCTGGCACGCTACTTCGATCGTTATGATGATTCCAGCTGTGACATACAGGCATTCTCGCAATTCCTAATAACACACGTCCAGAAGCAGATGCGTGTTGAGGAACGAATTGGCCTGGGAGACCGCCCACCAGTATCACTGCAGCCCAAGGAGCACCAAAACAAGAGTAATCGGCCGTTGCCCAGCAGGCAATATGGAGTCAGGGAGCGCGCGTTTATCTCCAGTCCTGGGACTCCACGATCAAGCGACTCGTCACAGCCTGGGCCGAAACGTAACTTGGTCGCTTCTAGCAGCCGCAGCAACTCCAGAAAAGAGCAAGCTGCCTCAGAGCAAAGACAGCATGCAGACAACAGCCATGCCTGTGGTAAGTGCGAGGGTGCACACCATATTGCAGATTGTGGCGAATTCAAGAGTCTGCCCGTGCAAAAGAGAAATGACACGATCCGGAACCTACGGCTATGCGTCAACTGCCTGGGAAATGGGCACTGGGCACGAGACTGCATGGCAGCGGTGTGCCGAGAGTGTCAAGGCAAGCATCATCATTTACTGCACCGTGAACGACAAGGCAGTTTTACACCATCACCACCAACGCGAAAAGAGGCTAGCCACCATGTGAACAGCGAATCCCAGCCAGCCAATGACGACGAGGCCGGCTTGACCTCATTCATGACGATACCGGTGAGGGTCGCTAATGGAACAGTGACTGCCACAGCCAACGTCCTTCTTGACTCTGGATCAACATGCAGCTTTGTCACAGAGAGGCTTGCACACCGACTACGGCTGCGAGGAGAGCGCAAGCCAGTGCATGTTGGTGTGCTAGGCGGTCAAGTTCTCTCAGGCGAGCGAGAGGTGGTGTCTCTGTCCCTTCATCAATATGACAGCCAGGAGATATCAGAAGTTGAGGCATATGTGCTGCCAAAGATCACAAGCGACGTGCACGTTGCTGATTGGAGCCGTCTGCGTCACCAGTGGCCACATCTAGCAGACATTGATTTCCCTGCTGCAAGCAATCAACGCGCCATCGACATCCTAATCGGGCTAAATTCAGCAGCACTGCACAGTGCACAGGAAGAACGGATTGGCAAGGCAGGTGAGCCCATTGCAAGGCGCACACCCTTGGGATGGGTCTGTTTCGGTTCAGCCATACAAGACAGCTCTGTCCAGCACACCCATCATGCCCTGGAACTAACACAGACAGGTCTCGACTCGCTTGTCCGTAACTTCTGGGACTTGGAAGCGGTCGGCATGCAACCGTCTGCTGAGAGCTACCTGTCACCTGACGAACGCCATGCTGAGGAAATGACTCGACAGCAGCTAGGGTACGCAGATGGTCGATTCGTTGTCGGTATTCCCTGGCAGAATGGAGCGCGTCCTCGGATCACGAGCAACCGAGTGCAGGCCGAGGATCGGCTGCGTTCGCTACTGAGGTCTCTAGAGAGAAGACCAACCGTTCAGATTCGCTATGCAAAGGTGCTAGAGGAGTACCTACAGAAGGCGTACATTCAGGAGCTGACATCTGATCAAGTCCAGCAATGTGGCCGTGAGCAATGGTTTCTGCCCCACTTCGCAGTAGTCCGCGAACACAAGGCTACAACTAAGGTCCGTGTTGTGTTTGATGCTGCAGCTCGCTTCAACGGCACGTCCATCAATGAACACATGTACGCTGGGCCGCGACTGCAGAATGACCTCGTCACAGTACTGATCCGGTTCTGCATGCACCCCGTGGCACTGATTGCTGATGTGTCGGAGATGTTCCTTCAGGTGTCACTACAGCCTGAAGATCGCAGATATCACCGATTTCTTTGGAAGACCGGGGACGGAGTCAAGGCCTATGAGTTCACCAGGTTGGCGTTTGGCATCCGTGCATCGCCATACCTAGCAGGCAGAGCTTTGTTGGAGACGGCCGAGCGTTTCGGAGCGAACTACGACCCAGCAGTCAGTGACACAGTTCGCAAGGCATTCTACGTCGACGACATGTTGAAGTCCTTGCCTGACGACCAGAAAGCAATGCGTCTTCGGTCTCAGCTACAAGACCTCCTGAAGAAAGGCGGCTTCCATCTCCGGAAGTGGTTGAGCAACAGTGAAGCAGTGATGGAATCAATTCCACCGGAGCACCGCGCGCCGGCCACGTCTAAGTCCATAACGGCACAAGAGTCGTCTGGACAGCCCTCACAAAAGGCACTGGGCGTAACGTGGATGGTCAGCGAAGATTATTTCACGTTTCACTATCAGGAACCCACATCCGCTGCGTGCACGAAGCGCACCGTCCTCAGTCGCATGGCATCACTGTTTGACCCCAGAGGGCAACTAGCACCATTCACCATCAGGAGCAAGTTGTTGTTCCAGGAACTATGTCTTGCGGGGCTCGGCTGGGACGACCCACTGCCTGAAGAGACGGCGGTAGCTTGGCAAGAATGGTTTGCTGAGATGCCTAAGCTAACACAGCTACGCATTGATCGCTGTTTTCAAGATAGCACAACGTCGATGGGTCTGAGTGTGCACACGTTCACCGACGCATCAGAACGGGCCTACGCCGCTGCGTCATACGTCCGAGCAGAGCGACCAGATGGTACAGCGAAGGTTACCCTGGTGATGGCCAAGGCAAGACCAGCACCGATCAAGCGTCGATCCATTCCGATGCTAGAGCTGCAGGGAGCGGTCCTGGGTGTGCGTCTTGGGACGTACGTTAGCGAAGCTCTTGGTGTGAGAGCAGCCGACAGCCACTACTGGAGCGATTCCATGAATGTCCAATATTGGATTCGATCACCCAGCCGAAAGTTCAAGCTGGAAGTCGGCAACCGGATATCGGAGATCCAACAGCAGTCTATGGCACGGAACTGGCGTCATGTTCCCGGAGTCAGAAATCCAGCGGATCTCCCCACCCGTGGGATGACAGTCACACAGCTGGCAGAGGAGAGCAGGTGGTGGCATGGACCAACGTTTCTGGCACAGCAACAGAGCGAATGGCCAGATCGCAGGATAGCTGTGCCGAAGGAGCTACCACAAATGCTCAAGACTCCTGAAATCACGATGACGGCAATGATGTCACCACCGTTGCGGCTAAGTCCAAACAACTATTCCTCGTGGAGCCGTCTTGTGCGGGTCACGGCTTGGTGCATGCGTGCCATACACAATCGCCGCAAGAGCCGACTGCCACAGCTAACGCTCAGCGACGCCCGTGTGAAGATTGCAATCAAGAACAGCAAGGAGGTTGCCGTGCCCGAGCTCTCACCAGCTGAGTTTGAAAGAGCGGAGCACTATTGGATCATGCGTGCGCAAGATGAGAGCTATGGTGAAGTGACCAGCACGCTGAGAAAAGGGAAGGAGTTGCCAAGCAGTGCCCCTCTTCTCAAGTTGCAACCGCGCATCGACGAACAGAGTGGATACCCCGTATTAAGAGTTAGTGGGAGACTGCGTACGGCTTACCACTTGGCATCTGAGTTTCGATCGCCAATTATTCTACCACCTCGACACCGAGTGACAGAGCTGATCATTCGGAGAGAGGATGAGCGATGCCGACACAGCATTGGCACGAATCACATCCTGTCCAATCTCGCCGATCACTACTGGCTTGTGAAAGGCAAGCAAATGGTGAAGTCACATCGGCACCACTGCGTGGGATGTCAGAAGGTGTGGCGCAAACCAGCCACTCCCAGGATGGGTCCTCTCCCAGACCTCCGCACGCAAGGACCACTTCTGGCATTCGCCCGCACCGCTGTGGACTTCGCCGGACCATTTCTAGTGAAGAGAGGTCGAGGACGTACACAAGAGAAGAGGTATGTGGCAGTGTTCACGTGTCTGCAATCTCGAGCGTGTCACTTGGAGCTGGTTACCTCTCTCGACACGACTGGCTTCAAGATGGCCCTGACGCGATTCTGCAAGCGTCGCGGCACACCCGAGATGTTGCTTACTGATAATGGAAGCAATTTTGTTGCGACAGAGCGAGAGCTGAGGGAGGCAGTCGCCCAGCTTGACCATGCCGACCTCGCATCGGAGTATGCAGGCCAAGGGATTGAGTGGAAATTCAATCCGCCTCGTTCTCCTCATTTCGGCGGCGTGTTCGAACGGATCGTGCGCTCCATGAAGCAAGTTCTCCAGACTGTGCTGTACAAGGCTGATTTAACTGAAGAAGAGCTCCAGACAGTATTGGTGCAGGCCGAGGCTCTCATCAACTCGCGGCCATTGACAACGCTTTCGGAGGAAAGTGAAGACCTGGAGCCGCCTTTGCATTTCTTGGTTGGCCATTCGAGAGTTGCAACAGCGTTGGAAGCAACCCCGGAGGGGGGTCTGCATCGTCGCTGGCAGTTGCTTCAGGATCTGATGAAGCGCATTTGGAAGAGGTGGCTCCGCGAGATTGTTGCTCTAGCCAATTTGGAGACGAAGTGGCACCGTGATAGTGCATCGGTTACAGTCGGCAAAATCCTGATGATGCTGGACGAATCGCTCCCAAGGACTCAGTGGCCGCTTGGTCGAGTGGTCGCTACGTATCCTGGAAAAGACGGGAAGGTGCGCGTAGTGGACGTGAAGGTCAAAGGGAAGGTGTACAAGCGCAGCGTCCACCTCATGGTGCCCCTAGATGTGGAACCGTCAGCAGTCAAGGTGACTCTCCCAGCCTCTGCCGAAGTGCGGCTAAGTGATCTCAATGAGTGACATTAACTGGCATGCTCGCCGTTGTTAATGCCGTGTATCAAGTTACGGTTTTGCCCAATATCGTATAGGCATTAGATTCGCTCAGTTTTCCCACGTTCGCTCATGAGGGAGGGAATGTTACGTTTTCTTACTCTTAGTACTCCCTTGTGCCATTGTTCCAGCAGATGCTGCAGGTGTCGCTGACCTGCACAGTTTGTACGAGTACTTGTAGATTTATGCAGTGCGTGTCTACAGCTGTATTTGAATGTGTGCGTAGTGCACAGTTTGTAGTTGTCCCCTGGCCCTAGGCCTAGGCCCTGTGCCTGTGATACGTGATTGTGGTGCGTGTTAGCTTACACGTGGGAATGCTACGCGCTTTCATGTGACCTGCGTTACTTCCTTCTCACTGTACTTCCTTTTATGCATGTATCGCTGGCATATGTGACACGGGCCGGCCGGGCCGGAGTGTGTATTGCCTATTGGTTTTGGAAGCATGTGCCTTTTGTTCTGTGAGTTGTTGTTCGCATGCACATGTTGCTGGCCGGGTGGTAATGTTTTGGTTCTTGTTGTGTTGGACCTGAGCTCTAGATTCTACAAAGTTTGTAGCTGTTGTGATTTTACTATGTTCCATGGGTCTGAATAATTGTGTTCTCCGGAGTGGAGTAAAACTGAACTGTGATTCGATTGTGTGCGGAAACCCGGTGTTGACGAAAGTGTGTTGACCTGGGCGCTGAGGAAAAGTAAGATAAACCTTCTGTGGCAACTACTTGTCAAGGTTGGCTGGTGAGCGCCGTTGTGGAATCATGGTGGTTGATGGAGAAAGCAAATACTCAGTTTCTTGAATCTATCAATCGTCAGGCAAAGTAACAAACTGAGGCAGGGCTGTAGTGTGTTAGTTCACTACAAGACTGACACACTCAGCCACAGAACAGGGCACAGAAAAAGGAAATCGCCATGATTGTGTGAAGGTGAGAGTGTACTGTACATGTTCTTCGCAGTACATGTGCATGGATGTCGTCCCATTCTGTTCGATTATCCTCCACCCAGGCCGTCACAACAAGCTCTTTCCCGTGCCAAGGCCTCCAGGATATCGACATCATAAGATTCTTTCACTCCAGACTCCAGTGACCATATATGGTAATGTCTTTGCACCTAGCAACACGCTGGTAACCGGATGTGTATTAGCAGTGTTTGTAAAAATAGTGTGAACTTGGTGTCAGTACAGTATTATGATGTCCATTGTGCATTGGGTTTAGAATGGCCAAGAAGTTTAGTCATGACTGACACTGAAGTATCGAAACGATAGTATAAAAGCTTTCTGCACCAGTAGTTACTGTTAGTCGCCTATGGTAAGCGCATCAGGGCCGGCCTGTGAATTGAGATTCCCTGAATGTCGGTGGAGCGGGGATTCGTACAACTGAGCCCAATCAAAAATGGATCCAGTGATTGGAGGCACAGTATTGTACGACTCACTGCGTGCGACTTTAATCGCGTATGCCATTGGCCCGACCTTTTTGCCAATTTTCCACATTTTCCCTTGCTACTGTAGATGTTTCGTTATACATGTAGAGCGCGCTAGCGGCCAACTCGACAAGTCACTTTTAAAAGGTGGCAGACTACCCAAAATTCGCTGAAAAAAAAGTAATTTGTAAATTCAGATTGAGTGCTACGTCAGTTGAAAGAGCTAGGTGCAAATTCTCTGAAAATTGTGTCCCGATCTGACTAGCCGTTCGAGAGTTATGGCCTAAAATGTGCCCTTGCAAGGAAAGACTTTTTTGTTGCACGCTGTCATTTGTTGGCAGCACTGTATTTGAATGTGAGCAGACCGTGCGCAACTTGTCGTATCATGGAAACACGCGAAAGTGTGCAGAATTTTGTTCCAAGTCCAAAAAATCACGTTTTTGAGCGCCGTGCAGCAGGACTTTTGCACAAGCACGCGGCAAGTCAAAAAAATCACGTTTTTGAGCCACGTATTGGGCTGCACGGCGGCAGGACTTTTGCCAGCACCCTCGTGACGTTGCAGATATGTGGCTTGATAATTGTAGTTGACGTTGATTTAGTGACTACTAACACTAGCACTTCAGATGACCAGCTTACTCTGTTTTGTTATTGTATCACGGCACTTTGCACTCTGCTCTTTTCTGCTCTCTTCCTTAGCCCTAAATCTTCGTCCTTTGGGCGCGCAATATGTTTCTCCTTTCGGTACAAAACCGGGGTGCTTTTGCCCACCTACATGTATTAGCCATTCAACAAAATCAACCTTCTGAACTTCACTGAAGAGAGTTCTATACCCGGCGGTAGTCGCCGAGACACCTGTATGAAGGGACTGAGTACAAAATGGATGTGTCGCTTTCTTGAAAGTCTTCTGTGGCAACTACTTGTCAAGGTTGGCTGGTGAGCGCCGTTGTGGAATCATGGTGGTTGATGGAGAAAGCAAATACTCAGTTTCTTGAATCTATCAATCGTCAGGCAAAGTAACAAACTGAGGCAGGGCTGTAGTGTGTTAGTTCACTACAAGACTGACACACTCAGCCACAGAACAGGGCACAGAAAAAGGAAATCGCCATGGTTGTGTGAAGGTGAGAGTGTACTGTACATGTTCTTCGCAGTACATGTGCATGGATGTCGTCCCATTCTGTCCGATTATCCTCCACCCAGGCCGTCACAACAAGCTCTTTCCCGTGCCAAGGCCTCCAGGATATCGACATCATCAGATTCTTTCACTCCAGACTCCAGTGACCATATATGGTAATGTCTTTGCACCTAGCAACACGCTGGTAACCGGATGTGTATTAGCAGTGTTTGTAAAAATAGTGTGAACTTGGTGTCAGTACAGTATTATGATGTCCATTGTGCATTGGGTTTAGAATGGCCAAGAAGTTTAGTCATGACTGACACTGAAGTATCGAAACGATAGTATAAAAGCTTTCTGCACCAGTAGTTACTGTTAGTCGCCTATGGTAAGCGCATCAGGGCCGGCCTGTGAATTGAGATTCCCTGAATGTCGGTGGAGCGGGGATTCGTACAACTGAGCCCAATCAAAAATGGATCCAGTGATTGGAGGCACAGTATTGTACGACTCACTGCGTGCGACTTTAATCGCGTATGCCATTGGCCCGACCTTTTTGCCAATTTTCCACATTTTCCCTTGCTACTGTAGATGTTTCGTTATACATGTAGAGCGCGCTAGTGGCCAACTGGACAAGTCACTTTTAAAAGGTGGCAGACTACCCAAAATTCGCTGAAAAAAAAGTAATTTGTAAATTCAGATTGAGTGCTACGTCAGTTGAAAGAGCTTGAATAGGTGCAAATTCTCTGAAAATTGTGTCCCGATCTGACTAGCCGTTCAAGAGTTATGGCCTACAATGTGCCCTTGCAAGGAAAGACTTTTTTGTTGCACGCTGTCATTTGTTGGCAGCACTGTATTTGAATGTGAGCAGACCGTGCGCAACTTGTCGTATCATGGAAACACGCGAAAGTGTGCAGAATTTTGTTCCAAGTCCAAAAAATCACGTTTTTGAGCGCCGTGCAGCAGGACTTTTGCACAAGCACGCGGCAAGTCAAAAAAATCACGTTTTTGAGCCACGTATTGGGCTGCACGGCGGCAGGACTTTTGCCAGCACCCTCGTGACGTTGCAGATATGTGGCTTGATAATTGTAGTTGACGTTGATTTAGTGACTACTAGCACTAGCACTTCAGATGACCAGCTTACTCTGTTTTGTTATTGTATCACGGCACTTTGCACTCTGCTCTTTTCTGCTCTCTTCCTTAGCCCTAAATCTTCGTCCTTTGGGCGCGCAATATGTTTCTCCTTTCGGTACAAAACCGGGGTGCTTTTGCCCACCTACATGTATTAGCCATTCAACAAAATCAACCTTCTGAACTTCACTGAAGAGAGTTCTATACCCGGCGGTAGTCGCCGAGACACCTGTATGAAGGGACTGAGTACAAAATGGATGTGTCGCTTTCTTGAAAGTCTTCTGTGGCAACTACTTGTCAAGGTTGGCTGGTGAGCGCCGTTGTGGAATCATGGTGGTTGATGGAGAAAGCAAATACTCAGTTTCTTGAATCTATCAATCGTCAGGCAAAGTAACAAACTGAGGCAGGGCTGTAGTGTGTTAGTTCACTACAAGACTGACACACTCAGCCACATAACAGGGCACAGAAAAAGGAAATCGCCATGATTGTGTGAAGGTGAGAGTGTACTGTACATGTTCTTCGCAGTACATGTGCATGGATGTCGTCCCATTCTGTCCGATTATCCTCCACCCAGGCCGTCACAACAAGCTCTTTCCCGTGCCAAGGCCTCCAGGATATCGACATCATCAGATTCTTTCACTCCAGACTCCAGTGACCATATATGGTAATGTCTTTGCACCTAGCAACACGCTGGTAACCGGATGTGTATTAGCAGTGTTTGTAAAAATAGTGTGAAGTTGGTGTCAGTACAGTATTATGATGTCCATTGTGCATTGGGTTTAGAATGGCCAAGAAGTTTAGTCATGACTGACACTGAAGTATCGAAACGATAGTATAAAAGCTTTCTGCACCAGTAGTTACTGTTAGTCGCCTATGGTAAGCGCATCAGGGCCGGCCTGTGAATTGAGATTCCCTGAATGTCGGTGGAGCGGGGATTCGTACAACTGAGCCCAATCAAAAATGGATCCAGTGATTGGAGGCACAGTATTGTACGACTCACTGCGTGCGACTTTAATCGCGTATGCCATTGGCCCGACCTTTTTGCCAATTTTCCACATTTTCCCTTGCTACTGTAGATGTTTCGTTATACATGTAGAGCGCGCTAGCGGCCAACTGGACAAGTCACTTTTAAAAGGTGGCAGACTACCCAAAATTCGCTGAAAAAAAAGTAATTTGTAAATTCAGATTGAGTGCTACGTCAGTTGAAAGAGCTTGAATAGGTGCAAATTCTCTGAAAATTGTGTCCCGATCTGACTAGCCGTTCAAGAGTTATGGCCTAAAATGTGCCCTTGCAAGGAAAGACTTTTTTGTTGCACGCTGT